CATATATACATATATACATATATACATATATACATATATACATATATACATATATATATATATATATATATAATTAGTGTCACAACCGCTGGTAAGCCCCAATTATGGGAGGAAGCTAACTGCTTCCAACATCTGTCAATCGGCTCGTCACAAGAGTCCATCACGACAGAAATACATATATACTCACACATACATATATACATATATATACACACACACACTCATATGCTCATATAGGTAGTCCTCAACTTACAACCACCATTGAACTGAAATTCCTGTTGCTAAGCAAGGCAGCTGTTAAGTGAGTCTTGCCCCATTTCTTGCCACTAAGTGAATTGCTGAAATTGAGTTAGTAACATGGCTGTTAAGTGAATCTGGCTTCCCCATCAACTTTGCTTGTCTAGAGGGTTGCAAAGGATGATCACATAACTTCAGGACACGTCAGGACGCTGGTTGTTAAGTGTGAAAAATGGCCATAGGACACTTTTTCAGCGCTCTTGTTATTTTGAACGGTCACCAAACCAGTGGTTATAAGTCGAGCACTATCTGTATACCGGATTCTCTGCACCAAACTGACACCCACCGACATTGTCCTGATCAACATTGAACAACGTCATGGGACCTACAGTTAGGCTTTCTGTTGCCTTCTGAGTTTTGAGGAGGATCGTCTGTTTCTGTATCTGTTTATTCCAGGTGTCGATAAATGTGTATTTACAGGTATTCCTTGACTTGCCAGAATTTCCATTGCTAACCACTTCAGTTGTTAAGTGAGTCTCACCCAAATTTACAACCGTTTTTGCCACTATTGTTCTGTGAAACACTGTAGTTATTAAGTCAATAGCAACTGACTTAATTAGACGACTGGTTAAAAGTCAGGAGTCCCCCCCACCCACCCACTCCCGGTCCGTGAACCTGCAGTAGTCTGTGGCATGCCAGAAATGGGGGCCGCACAAATAAGCAAAGCCCATCCACAAGATACAGGCAACACACAAAAAACACGCCCCTTCCGATCCGCAGAAAAACCTCTTGTTGTGGCCTGTCGGCCGCTGATCCCTCCAGCAGCCAAGGAGGAGGAGGCGTGGGAGTCAGGGTCAGCATCAAGGCAACCTGAGAGCTCTGAGGGGGGAGAGGGAATGGCGCTGGCAGAGAGAGGGGGGGGGAGGAGGAGCCTGAGCTGTCCGTCAGCCCTCAGATGGAGAGCCAACAGCCCCCAGGTCTGGAGGTGGCTGATGAGGAACAGGAGGAACAGCTGGGTCCAGTGCCAGACGCGNGGCAGAGGAGAGGAGAGCAGTGGAAATCTATGGGCCGGTCCTTGAGAAGGAAGAGCCACCGCTGCTAGCAAAGCCCCACCCTAGCTCTGGGGATAAAAGGCAGGGGGCAGAGATGAATAGGTGTGGCAGATAACCATCCATCTTCTGGCTGGATGGACTTGTTAGCCTGTGAGAGAAACTTCTTTCTGGGGCTAGTGGCATTCCTAATAAAGGAATCTTTTAAGTTCACGCCAGGGGCTTTGTTGTGTTTGGGGAGCTTGATCAGATTACCTCTCCTTGGAACCGGTCCCTGGTGCCCAAAAGATTGAGGGCCACTGTTGTAGGTCACTTTTTTTTCCCCAGTGCTATTTTTCAGTGCCAGTGTTTGAATGGTTTGAACTGGAGAAATGGTTGTTAAATCAAGGACTATCTGTATCTGTTAACTTGTCGACTTTGCGTTGAACGTTCCCGTGGTTGTGATTCCCTTGCTCTTCAGGAAACGTGTTAAGATGCCTTCGAGTCTCAACGTCTGTCCTTTTCTCTTCTCTTTTGTGTCGCAGCTCCAATGGGAAATCGGTCACGTGGGCCCAGAACGAAAAAAGTTCCAGCCGAGGAGCCCATCTCTGGCAGAGGCTTTCCATCCACATCAATAAGAAAGACAACCCCAACCAAACCGCGGTCATCAAACCCTTCTCTAAAAGCACAGACAGCAGCCGGCATGGCAGTAGCACCACAATCACCACGACCTTCCCCGAATCCGGTGCCAAAACCCTTTACGATGTCTCCGAAGCTGAAGAGCACTACCCAGTTCAGTACCGCATTCAGACTCCATCCCCCATCAGTACGGTCAGCCAGAGAACTGCGTCCCTCAGCCGGACTGAAGACGACGTCCCAACTTTCCAGTCGGAACAAGCCCAACGGAGCAGTTCTTCCCAAGGTTCCCTGATGGAGCAAATCAGCAGCGTGGTGACGCGGTTCACGGCCAACATCAGCGAGCTCAACTCCATGATGCTCTCCCCCCCAGCGCCTGGCCCGATGGTCACCACCCCGTTGTGCTCTTCCTACCTGATCCCGAGGGAGATCCAGCTGCCCACCACCATGACGACCTTTGCGGAGATCCAGCCCCTCCCTGCCATTGAGGTCAACGGAGCATCTCAGTCCTCCAGAAAACCGTCTTGCGGGAGTGTCAAGGAAGGTCCTTCTGCAGAAACTCCCGCCCCTGCCAAGCCCGAGCTGGAAGATTTGGTGGCTTTGACGCCTCCTTCTCCATTCAGGGACTCGGTTGATTCTGGAAGCGCTTCTCCCAGTTCCCCGGCCTCGGAATCCGCCCTCTGTATCCCGTCTTCGCCGAAATATGACTCGCTGATGATAAAGGATTACACGCAGAGTTCTTCCTCCTTGTGAATGTAGTAAGAGTCAACGTTGAATCTCTATAGCTTCGCCTCCATCAAGGAGATGAAGAAGCCCAGCCTCCCTGTTCTCCAGTGTTTAAAGACACAATGAGAGTAAAGGGTGATTTTTTGGGGGGGGGAGGGAGGATGAAAAAAACGCAAGGGGAGAATAAAAAGAACAGATGGGTTATGCTCTTTTAAACACACACGCACACTCTCCTGCATACACAACGGAACTTTTTTCGCAGATTTTTCGTGGCCTTAAAAACACGGGCTTTTCAATGGAAAAAAACAAAAACTTTAAATTTATTCCTGAGGGCTGAGAAGAGCGTCTCTTACATCACTTACTTGTCAAGTGCTTTGCAACAGTGAGTAACGGGGAACCGGCGCTGGAGGGGGGGAAAAAACAGCAGGCAGACGAGACCGGAAGTGATCCAGTGTTTGTTTACTTGGATTCCTTCATCCAGAAGTAAACCTTGATCTTTTATTTTTTATTTTTTTTCAAGACACGGAAGACCAAAATCTTGAATGTACATTTTGTAGTGAACTCCAGACCGGGGACCAAAAGATCCAGCTACTTTTCGGTTGTTGTTGTTTTTTTCCCCTTTCAGTTGAAAGTATTTGTTGTTGTTCTTTTTTAAATGAAGATCTCAACCGATAGTAATATAGTCGGTCACAAGGGAACATTGTTGACTAACTTGGCAGTACGCTGCCTGTTGATAAATGTAAGTTAACACAACACAGCGCACAGCTGCACTCCAAGAGGGCTTTTCTAAAATAACTTCCCATCCAAGGATATGTTTAAGAGGAGCGGGGGGGGGGGGGGAGAATCTCTCTTCAGTTAAGTATTAATTTTTCCCCCTTTAATTATCATGCGTTTCATCTCCAGGACGACAGCATTCTGGGAGGAATTTTTCCTTACTATTTCACCGTGTTGCCGATCAATAACAAAGTAGCAAAAAAAAAGAGAGACAGAGAGACAGAGAGACAGAGAAAATGACAAAATAATAATAATATAGTAATAGTATTTTCTGGAGTACTGTTTTGCAATTCCCTGATCAGGACATAATGTTGAGCTGAATATTCGCTTTCTACACTGATGTGGTGGAGCATAAGGATTGCTACCTTGCGGTATGTTCCCGAGGAAAACGCATATTTTTGCAGATGTTCTTGCATTAACCTTGCCAGACAACAAGGATAAAGGTATTTCAGTCATAAAGAGAACAACCGTCTCTAACAGTGGGAGACAGGCCTTCTCTAAAGGGGTGGGAAGGGTGTGTTAAAGGGTGGGTGGGGCAGTTCCCAGGTTTACTTCTGATTGGGAGAGGAGAGTGCCGGTCCACCTTCTATCCATCATCATCCTCTTTTAATGACCCCGTGATCCCTTGAGGGGTGGAGTCTGGGCAACTGAATGGAGGATGTTTTCATGGCCAGATGCCCTTCCTGTTGCCGATGGGGAGTTTTGTTTAGCAGTTATATTCTCAGTTTGCCTAGAGAGAGAAATATCTGCCTCTACCTAGGACCGAACTCACAACCCTCCTGATTGTGTTCCACCTAGAGGCCACCACACCTCTCCTAGTCAGCCTTCTGTCAGTCTGCAGAAGAAATTGCAATATATGAACCTCAGTGATGTGGGCCAATGAGGCAACCATCATTTTTCACAAGAGTTTTAAAAACTTTATTAGGGACCATTCTCTTCCCATCCAACCCCAACATCCCTACCACCGCCTCTACATTAAGAGTCAACTTTTTCAGGATGTTCCAACAGGCAATAGGCTCACGATCCAGCTTTTTCGGACTCGCTATCCTCTCTGGTTTTTGTCAATTTAGACCTGCACAATAATCTCCAAAGTCAGGGAATCACCCCATAATGTCCATCATTAACGTTATGGGCTGCTGTTTTGAATCTATGAAAGGAGTTTGATTGCACTGAACAGCCTTCAGATCAGTGGTGGATTCCTATCGATTTGGACCTGTTCGGCTGAACCGGTAGTGGGTTTGGCGGTCTGGGTCATTGGAACCGGCAGCAACCCAGGCCCTGCCATGCCCCCAAATCGGTTCCCCTGTGGCACCGCCATCTCGATTTTCATTTCTGTGCACGCGCAGGACAATTTCCATTCCAAAATTTTTGCGCGCACCGAACCGGTAGTAATGCTGGAAGCAACCCATCCCTGCGTCAGATGGTCCAAAATTGGGAGAGAAGGTTATTGAGCTGCTAAATTTGAGCATTCCACTGAATAAGTACAATTTCAACATCAGCAAGAAACGAATTAATAATAATGACTAAAATAATCCATAACCATGCAGAGTAGAATACCCCATGCAACTAGGTTTGAAATTCTTGGTTTGTATAGTTTAGAACTGTTGATGCGGTCAGATTTAGGTATTGCACACAAAGTTGTGCACATGAGCCATGGTGGTTAGAGTGCAGTACTGCAGGCTACTTCTGCTGCCTGCTGTCTGCCTGCAATTGGGCAGTTCGAATCTCACCAGGCTCAAGGTTGGCTCAGCCTTCCATCCTTCCGTGGTTGGTAAAACGAGGGCCCAGATTGTTGGGGGCAATAGGCTGACTCTGTAAACTGCTTAGAGAGGGCTGTAAAAGCACTGTAAAGCAGTATATAAGTCTAGGTGCTATTGCTAGCAATGCCCTAGCTGTAAATGATTTTTTTTTAAAGTTTTAATCATAGCATAACACATGCAAACAGCCACTTTAAGCTTCATGTAAACCACCGATTGTAAAAAATATTGGTTTTGGTAACCGAGTGGTCAAAGTCTGGAATATCTTATCCGATTCAGCTGTCTCAACTGCTGATTTTCACAGTTTTTCTTCCAACCTAACTTCACTCTATATTTTATGAGGTTCCTAAGGGGACATGTGTAAGTCCAACTCACGCGGATATCGTCCCTGTCACATTTTAGGTTTTTTCCCTTCATTTTGTTTGTTCAAATTTGTAATTTTCTTTTGTTTGACGAACATAAATATAAATTTAAAGCATCTTGTATTTGTGGCTGAATGGAGATGCTGATGACACCACCAGAGCTGGTCTGAAATCTCGGGATGACTTCTAGAAGACATGAAAAAAATCTCTCTTAGTAACATACATTTTGGGCTCAATTTTAAGTCGAGGATTACCTGTAGTTTAGCAACTCTTACCTATCCCAATAGATAGTTTACACCTCATTGGAACCCTTGTGCAACCTGTGCCAAGGTAGAACTGCAGCAATATATAAATACCCCTCAATTTACAACCGTTCTTTTAATAATGGTTCAAAGTTACAACGGCCCTGGAAAAAGCAACTTATGACCTATGTTCACACTTACGACCGTCACCACATCTTTGGGGTCACATGACCACAATTTGGACACTTGGCAACTGACCTATATTTATGACTGATGGCATCATCCTGTGGTCACCTGATTGAGACTTGCAACCATTTTTGTTGAATTCTGGCAAGGGGGAAGATGAATTCGCTTAACGATCATGTGATTCGCTTCATGACTGCAGTGATGTGTCTAATAAGTGCCGTAGAAATCATCTTAAAATCAGGTACCACTTGATTTATGACTCCAGTGATATACAACAGATAGCCCAATCCAAATTCTGGTCGTCAAGTAGAGGACTATCTGTAGGCCAAAAGATTTAGCCTGGTTTGATGGCTCTGCTCCCCATGTTTAGATGGTATAAAGGAGGAGTCGAAAAAAATTGGCAACTTTAAGACTGGTGGACTTCGATTCCCAGAATTACCCAGCCAGCCATGCTGCCTGGTGAATTCTGGGAGTTGAAGTTCCCCAGTCTTAAAGTTGCCAAGTTTGGAGACCCCTGATATAAACGGAAAATGCAGGATAAATGTTTTAGTTTCATTTAAAGGCAGCACGGAGCAGGGTCTCGATGGTTTCAATAGTTTTAAGTATAACTGAGGCTGTAGTCTTATACATATTTATTCTGAATTCTCTACAAAGGAGCTTAATCACTAAGCAAATACACATAGCATTGCACTAAAACCCTGGGTTCAACCTTCTATTTTGAAGTATCTTTTAATCACCTTTAAAGGATATCCCTCTTATATAAGATACTATCCGATAACCCGGCATTGCCCGGGTATTTATTTATAGGGGGGAAATGTCCAGACTGAACGTAATTTCTAATGTTGGATTTTTCCCCCTTACCAGAGTATTATGAAGCTGTCACCATGGCAATTCCACTGCACTGTACAGTAGAAGCCATTTTAAGGCACAACAAGCTGTATCTAAACAGAACATACATCCTGAGCAGTTTTAGAGGTGTCTTACCCCTACAATATTTGTCTCCAGATAGTAAGTCATCTGTGTGCCAAGTTTGGTTGAAATTGCTCGAGGCGTTCCAGAGTTATGCTGGAACACACACACACACACACACACACACACACACACAGCCGTTTTTATAGAGAGAGAGATTTTGAAGAGCATGCATATTTCATGCATAAGAATATAATTAGTCCTTGAATTGCCACCGCAATTGAGCCCTAAACTTTCTGTAGTCACATTCATTAAGTGAGTTTTGCCCCATTGTTCGATCTTTCTCTCCACAGTTGTTAAGCGAATCACTACGGATGTTAAGTTAGTGACATGGCTGTGAAGTGAATCTGTCTTTCCCCATTGACTTCACTTGTCAGAAGGTCGCAAAAGGGGATCACGTGACCCACGGTCTCTGTGACCGTCATAAAAGGAGTCAGTTGCCGGGTGGTCAGACTTCGATCACATGACCATGGGGATGCTGCAACATGAAGTGTGAAAAACGGTCATGGGTCACGTTTTTCGGTACCGTTGGAATTTTTGAATGGTCACTAAATGAACTGTTCTAAATTGAGAATGACCCGTAGTAGTCTGGATTAACCCTGGGATTAATTACAACTAAGAGCTTGTGGTTGTTGATTCAAAAAGTATGGATTTGTTGCAGTGGTGAGATTCAAAAAAATTAACAACTGGTTCTCTGCCCTAATGACCATCTGGGTAGGTGGGGCTCGGTGGTCATGTGACTGGGTGGGCGTGGCCAACTCAAGGTCACTCGCGCTGATGGGCGCTTCGCCTTAGCTGTTACAATGTAGTAAGGGTTAAGCGGAGAGGCAGTTTCTGTAAGCAGGGCAATAAAGATT